TTGTTCTCTTGTCTTAGCACCACCATTGTGTACTGCTTCACCTTTTCCACCACGCTTGCTTCTTCTATTAAGAGAATTGGTAGCTGCAATATTTGTAGTAGCATCGAGCTGCCAATAAGCTTGAAACCCATCCCACACATCTTGATTCAGACCTAATGGTTTATCCTTCTTCAACCTCCACTTTTTCTTCCACTCAGTCATGTTGCTCGTGTACTGCTTTTTAGCCTGCAAATTAAAGGCTGTCCGCACATCACTGGTGAAAGTAAGGTCCCAATTCCAATCTTGCTGCAATAAACAAACACAACAAACATATTAATAAATAACCAAAGTCCAAACCAACATTATAACCAGACATCTTACCGCAAATGAACGGAGCCACATCTTCTGAGTTTCTAATGGAACATGAGCATAAGTCGGATAAGGCAACTCAAGGAGACTGTGAAAGCATTTCAAAATGGACTTGCGAATTTCATTGCGACTTCTTTCCCTAAACCTATAAGAAAAATGAAAACATAAATACATACCAAAATAGAATTGATAAGATACAGAATTAAAAATTACCAGCTAGTATTTGGTTCTCCATATGGGCTCAGCTTAGGAAGCAACTCTCTTCCTGGTGCCACCAACAACTCATTCAGTAACCTATCCTCGATGATTGATGCTCGCTGTGGCTGACGGACACTTGTTCCTTGGGTAGCCGGGGAACCCAGACCAGGAGATGAAGAAGACGGAAAAGAACCGGAGCGAAAATCAGCGTAAGACCTCAAGACAAAAAAAATTAACACTTGAGATAAGAATCTAAAAATAAAAATGATCAAAAATATATATACACCATACATCATTATCCAAAAAGAACAACAAATTCTACTGAGATTTTTAAAACGTTTTTACAAAAAAAAATATTTGCTGTAACATATGAAAAATATTTTTAAAACGTTTTTGACAGAGAATTAACATAACCGATCAACTATGTACTTTTACAGTTTTAATTTCCACAACCTATCAAAATCTTCACCACAAGCTATCAAAATCAAAAGCAATGATCATTCTCATTCACACGAAGCAGAACAAGAAGCTGTTAATGATCTCGCACATAAATCTCGAAAGAAAGATGCTATTCCTGTAACAAAGAAAAAATTATGTCAGATATGAAAAAATACAATGTAATGGGTGAAAAAGTTACTGGATATTAAATTTACCTGCTATAGCTTCATGTACATTTTTTGGAAGAAGACCAGCGAAGCAAAAGGGGAGAAGGCGCTCCATCATGACATGACAATCATGACTTTTTAAACCAGAAAACTTTCCTTCTACGCGATTAACACAATTCCTTAGATTAGACGCATATCCATCTGGGAATTTGACATCATCTACAATCCAGTCGAAGAACTCTTGCTTTGCAGCTGCATCTAATCGATAAATAGGCATTGGAAGTCTTCCTCTCCCATCCACGTGAAGAGAATCCCGAGCACATATATCTGGTAAGTCTAATCTAGACTTCAGGTTGTCTTTTGTCTTCCCCTTGACATTGAGAATGGTATTCATGATGTTGTCAAAGATATTCTTCTCTATGTGCATCACATCTAAATTATGCCTAAGTAGATGGTTCTCCCAATACGGTAATTTCCAGAAAATACTTTTCTTGTGCCAATTGTGATGTTCCCCATATCCATAAACTGGATCATGACCATTTCCACCACATTTAGTTGTCTCTTCCACACCAAAATCCCTAAGTTGAGTTAGGATAGATTTTCCATCTATTTCTGGTGGCGGACCATCAAACACCTTTTTGTTCTTAGTAAATAAAGTGGTGCTTTTTCGATATGGATGATCATGGGATAGATATCGTCTATGACAATCAAACCAACATGTCTTCCTTCCATTCTTCAGCTGAAATGCATCTGTGTTATCTTGACAGTAGGGACACGCTAATCTTCCATGTGTTGTCCATCCAGATAACATTCCGTATGCGGGAAAATCACTTATGGTCCACATAAGCACTGCACGCATTATAAAATTCTGCTTACAAGATATATCATACACTTCAACTCCTTCGTCCCATAACATTTTCAACTCATGAATCAATGGTTGCAAATAGACATCAAGGGATCTTTTAGGATGCGCAGGACCGGGTACTAGGATTGTGAGAAAGAGAAACTCTCGTTTCATGCACAAAGATGGAGGTAAGTTGTAAGGTGTTACAACAACTGGCCAAAGAGAATATTGTCTCCCATGGCTTCCAAAGGGGTTGAATCCATCCGTACTTAATCCAAGGTAAACATTTCTTCTCTCTGAGGCAAAAGTAGGATACACTGACTGAAAATGTTGCCATGCTTTTGCATCTGATGGATGAGCAATTTCTCCGTTGCTGTCGTGTTCACCGTGCCATCTCATAGCCCCAGCAGTATGTTTGGATTGGTATAACCTCTTTATTCGGTCTGTTATTGGCAAGTACCACATTCTCTTATACGGAATTTTAGTCTTTCGACTTGTTTCTTGAAACCGTGGTTTGTGACAAAATCGACAACTAGTCCGATCAACATCCCTTCTCCAGTATAGCATACAATTGTCGATGCAAACATCTATCATTTGATAGGGCAAACCCAACCCAGAAACCAGCTTCTGTATCTCATAATATGTAGCTGGTAAAAGATTATCTTCTGGCAATATATCTTTCACAAAACCAGCTATCGCATCAACACAATCTTCGCTTAAGTTATAATCTGTTTTAATAGACATCATCCTTGTTGCAGCTGAAAGAGGTGAAATACCATCTCTGCAATCATCATATAACGGATGTTTTGCTGCATCTAGCATATCATAAAATTTCTGCGCTTCAAAGTTTGGTTCCTCCACTCTATATCTATCTTCAACCATTTGAACAGTTCCTATGTGTTCATCTAAGCCACCTTGTTGTTCTCCTAATCCCCCCATGTTATTTTCTTCACTAGTACTACCAAAATTCACCATAAGATCAGTTTCACCATGCGAATACCAAACTTTATAACCCACCATAAATCCTCTACTATATAAATGCTTCCATACACCACTAACTGAACAAAATCTACGATTTTGACAAACTGGACAAGGACAATACATCATACCCGTTTCCAAAGTCCTCTGCTGGTTTGAGGCAAATGACATGAATTGTTGAAGACCTTGCGCAAATTCTTCTGTGACAAGTCCAGTAGATGGATCTTGATGATTGTGATCCATCCAAGACCTAAAATATTCATTATGATTTGAGGAAGACATTTTCTATTGTAGAGTGTTTTTTTAGGAGTGTCTGTAACTAAGCGAATAGAGTGATTCTGATATTGAAGATGAAATTTCTGACCGACTTTTGACCGTTTCTGACCGAATTCCAAAGGTTATAAAAACGTGTGAATTTTAATGTGAAAACCGTTAGAAATTTCTGACCGTTTTCCGACGATATTTGTGCGGTCAGAAATATCCGACGGATTTTCGACCGATTTCTGACGGATAATTTTTAAAATTATTATCCTCGGAAAACGGTCGGAAAATTTTGACCGCTTTCTGTCCGAATGTTAGTCGTCAGAAATTTTTGACCAAGTTACATTTTCGTTGGAAAGTTGTCGGAAATTTCCGACCAAAAAAAAACCGATCAGAATGTCCGTCAGAAATATCTCTTTTTCTTGTAGTGAGAAAGATTGAAATGTTCTAGAGATTATATTTGAATTTTAAAAATATAAGTATGTATGATATTTTTCGGAATAAAAACGATCGAGCGGACGTGTTAGTAAAATAACTAAAGACCAAATACTATACATTTTTTCATATAGATCAGATCCAGTTAGACGAAGATGTTTTTTGAAAAAATGGTTCGTCTAACCATTACTTTGTCTCTAATTTAGTTGAGCCACTAACCAAAAAAAAAAAAATCAAGTCTAGAAACTACACTCCAAAATTTTCAAAGGTAATCTAGACTCTAAATCCCTGGACACAATATGTCAATATACGTATCCCACCATTACATTCGTGGCTGATTTCTTGAATCATGTTTAGTGTTCTTGGCTCCACCATCTAACAAATATACAATATAACTTTTTAAAATTAATATTTTATAAACTAATATACGTTAAATATTTTTATAAAATAATATAAAATTGATTTTTTGGTTTATTTAATATATTAATAAATTAATAATCGTTATAAACTAATAAAATATATAATTTTGGTGTATTTTTAACATTATTAATTTATAGAAGTTTCACTGTATATAGTTTCTTCTAACATTTGATCTTCACTTTAATGTTTTGTTTTATTTTGTTTATTTCAACCGACACACTCACACCATAAGAATATTTGCTTTAATAGCTTGTTTTATTCGGATGAGTGACTAACCAGTTACACGCTTTATAATATGTCAATTTGAATAATGAGAAAAAGAAGGTGAATAAACAATCTCAAATTCTCAATGATAGACCGATATATATATATATATATATAATATGGTGGAGTCAAGCAAAATACACATATGACATATCAAAAGTAATGAAAATAGTTTTTCGATTATAACAAAGCTTCTAATGGCTTGTGTATGTGGCCAATGTACATGAAATAATCTACTTTAGTCAATGTTGCTGGCCATATATAGTTTATTAACTTGTATTCCTCGAAATACCAATCCATCTTTTTCAAAAAAATATAATAGTATAACACACACAAAAGGAGAGCATAATCGTAATGCAAGTGATTTAGTGTGGTGAAGGGTGGAGACTCCTTTTAGTGTCTAAAGAACTATAGTGTATCCTCTTTAAATTAATATACACTAAATTTTTTTATAAAATAATATAATTTCATAATTTTAAATTATTATTTTTAGTTTAGTTAGTATATTGATAAATTAATAATCTCTATAAATTAATAAAAAAATTATAATTTTGGTGTTGTTCCAACATTATTAATTTATAGAGGTTTCAATATATTTTTCACTCCTTTTAATGTATTTTCTTTTGTGCACAAACACTTCATTGAAATTAAACCAAATTTGGTACAAAGCCACTGAGGGCATGTTTAGCTAAACCATCCTCAAAACAGAGGGCATTACGATTGCAGAACTTAAACGCAACAAAAGCAAAAGCGAAAAACAAAGACATGATTTTGATATCCGACACGATCTCATGGAAATCGGAGAAGTTAGGTCCACCGTTGATTGCAGATATAAGTTGGAGTGAGTCAGATTCAAACAGCACTCGATCAAATTGCAAAGTGATAGCATGTTTCGTAGCTGAGCGTATTGCTAGTCCCTCCGCCACAAGAGACTCCTTTTAATTTCTACATAATTATTTTTGTAATGGTTAACATAAGGTCTCTTTTGAATCCCATTAAATGTAATCCCATCCATTTTCCGCGATAATGACAATCTTTCTAGCTAGGTGCATGACCATCCCAAGTGGTTTTAAAGGGCAGCTACTTCCATCATCAATAAATAGGCCGCATAAAAGCCCAAAATCGAAATAAAGATCATTACAGGAAACAACTCCGACATATGGATCAATAATGGGACATATCTGAGTAAGGCCCAAATATAGAAAAAACATATACCTTGAAATTTGGTTGCCTATTGATATCAAACGTTTCGGCCATATGCTAGTTGCCAACACATAAAAACTCATTTGTACAAGTAGGAAGATACTTAAGTAATATCTCTTATTATTGCTTGACCATTTCATAGTTTGAAATTACAAGAATAAACAACATATATAGAGACTAATAAGCTATTAGTCCAGTTATCTTTCTATCTTTCTCCCTCATAATGACTACAAATCATATACTAACAGAAACAATTAACAAGTAACAAAAGATTAAAGAAATAAAACAAGTTTGTGTGTGTGTGTGTTTACACCACAGTCTGCTCCTTCTCTCTATACATCTGCTCAGCCCAAGACATTATCCTAACCCTCTCATTCATCCCAAAGCCTCTCTCAGTCACAACACTGTCTTTAACCAATGAGTTAACCCATGAAACATCTGGCTCGTTCCTATAATCTCTCACTCCATTACTGTTGTTCTCTCCATGGATTCCAAAGGAAACACTTCTCCTCATCTTACTCAACTCATCTCCTTGCACTCCCCACTCCAGCTTCCCACTTGGTGATCCCCAATCCGAGAGATTTGACGGTGATGATGCTACTTGAGGCTTGAAACTCAAGCTGCGTTTAGCAAATGCAGATGATCTTGCATTCATCACTGCCGCCGCCACAGCTGCTGAAGAGTCAAAGTGGTGAGGAGGAGGAGGCTGTTGCCTTACTGGGGAAGAAGGGTAATGCTGGTGACTCATCTGAGAGTTCCTACTAGGAGAAGAGACATAAGATCCAAAAGTCTCTTCAACATTGTTGAAACCTCTGAGTCTCATCTCCATCTCCATATCGATATCAAGATCTCTAGCACTCAGTGTAGACTTCAATCTACTTCCACCGTTGAGCTGCAGAGTAGGTGGAGACAGAGAATTAACTCTGTTCTGCCATGACCCGTTTCTTGGAGAGGAAGCAACACTACTACCCATAGGAGAGACAGGACGGGTCGAAACACCTGAAGAGTACCCAAGTGGAGACATCATCTCCAACGGAGATTGAGACACAGCAGAGCCAGTTGAAGCATTAACCGGTCTCATCTCCTCACGTCTATGCGCAAAGAAACACACTTTCCTCGCACAACCAGTCTCATCTTTACAAAGCCTTGTCTTATACTGCGCAGGGTGAAGCCAAGACTCGAAAACACCGTGAGCATACTCACAAGAATCTCCTTTAGGACAAGACCCTTTACGAAACTCAGGACAAGGGACACAAGTGTAAGGATACTTCCTCGGATCTCTCCTCCTCGCGTTCTCACCAGGATGAACAAAGGCACACTCTGTCCAATCATGAGAGTAAGCTCTAGAACAAGGCTTAACCTTAAAGCTATACATCCTAAACTCGTCACTACCGTAAACACCTTCGTTTATGTCCGGTAATGACGCGTCAGCTGGATACTTAGACACAATCTTCACCTCTTCTTCTTCAACAGCTTCACTAACCAAACCTCCTCTCAGCAACATCTCAACAGCTCTCTTCCTCGGAGAAGCCACAAACCTCGAAACCCTAACAAACAGATCTAAAGGCTGGTTCCCATTAGCATCAACGACATTAGCTAAAGCAGAGGCATCAAGCAGAGCGTTGATGACTTCAACCATATTAACAGAGCATCCAGCAACAGCACAGTGAAGCGCAGTGACTCCTTCTTCGCCGAAAGCTCTGTTCACATCGGATTTTCCGGTGGAAACGATGAAAGTCAAAACCTTTTTGCTTCCGTACATGGCTGCAACCATTAGTGGCGTCCTCTGTTCAAGACCCATCTTGTTAGACCCGAGCTTTTTGCAGTACCAGAGCCCTGGCTCGTCCAAGTCGAGACCTTTCTCTTCGATCTCTCTCCGGAATGATGGGAGATCATCACAGGCTGCGTATTCGAGGAGACCCATTTGTTTTCTTTCTTTCTTTAATTTGTGGAAAAACAGAGTCACTGCACAATATATGAGAAACTGTTATTAAAAGCTCTGTTTTTAAGAACAAAGCTCTGTTTTTAAATGCTCTGTTTATGCTCTGTTTTTAAGAACAAGCTCTGTTTTTAAATGCTCTGTTACTTTTTTCTTTAATTTGTGGAAGAACAGAGACCACTGCATAATATATGAGAAACTTTTACTAAAAGCTCTGTTTTTTTTTCTTTAAATAACAAAGCTCTGTTTTTAAATGCTCTGTTTCTAATAACTTTATCCGTTTTCTAAGATTCTTTTATAATAAAGGAAAGTACTCTGTACTAAGACAAGCTAAAGACCATTTCTACTACTCTTTTTCTTAGTTGAAAACTTCTAAAAGGGGTCAAAGATAAAGTTTTCAAGAAACTAAAAAAGCCAATAATATTTCTAGAAAAATCAAAGCTTGTAAGCTATAAGAGATTGAAGATAAGAAGAGGCACAAACCTTGAGATGAAAGTGTGGGAGAGAATTGAGTAGGAGAAAGTTTTGTGAGAGTTGGGTGAAGAATGAATGAATGAAGAAATCAAGTGGAGAGATGGGGGGTTTATAAGAAGAGTGGAGGTTGAGAGGGACAAAGGGACTTTTTCTTTAAAAGGTGCTTCGTTGCAATGAAGGAGAGAGGAAGCTACCTTCTTTCTTTCCTCTTCTTTACTTTCTTTTATTTATTTTATATGCATTTTATTATATAATATATAGTTTTATTCATAAATGGTTTAGGTCAAAAAGTCTAAAAAGTTGAAACCAAATTTTCAAAGGTGAGGATGTCGTTGTTCTGCTGACTATTCTACTTCAATTTCTTTGTATTTTTCATGAAAATTGACAAGGAATTCAACTAATTATCTACTTGTTTTTTTTTAAATTAATTTATTGTTTTAGACTTTTAGTTATATTTCTGGGTGGAAATGGTTAACAGTTTTGGTTATAATTTTTTGACAAGGAAATCAACTAATCATTTAGTTACTTTCTTTTTTATAAAATAAGTTTTTTAATTATATTTTATGGTAAGTATGGAGTTGGGGAGTGATAAAGGGACCCACCACTAAAAAAATCTGACCGACTAAACCGGTAACCGTTCAACACGCGTGTGCGAGTCCACCACAGACACAAAGCACGCGCTTTGAAGCGCACGTGACGGAGACTCTTGCCAGTCAAACTCTTACTACTACTTGCTTTGAGTTTGAGCTGTCCGATTTCCATCGGAATCAGCGCCAAATCCAAACGAGTGGAAACTGAGAGATTATGTTCGGCCTTTTCATTAATTGTTTGTGAATCTAATTTCATTGTATCATATCATTTGAATTCGTTATTAAGTAAAACTCGGAATATAAATGAATGCTATATTTGATTGACCTTCGAATATTCAACATGTATAGCAATTTTGCGTTAGAAGTTACGTTGTTATCATTTTTAGTTTTAATTTTGTTTATCTAACCTCTCAAAGCAAAATCAAACATTGGAAATTTGGAGAGATTTTAACTGACATATAAAGATAGCGAACTTATTTATTTACCAACAATTGATTTAAACTAAAATTCATCTAATTAAAGATGATATCATATTCCCATACAATTCAAAATTTAGCATAATTCGCAGATATATGCTTAAAGAGGTCATTATTTCAAAGATGCGTAGTAAAGATAAAATCTTATTTTAAAAGATCTTAACTAGTCTCATTCCGTTTCAATTTATTTGTCATTCTATGTTTTTTCACACAAATTAAGAAAATAATTAATTTTACATATTTTCAAAATAAAAATACAACTACCTATACATCTAACCACTTTTCAACCAATGAAAAAATATAATAATATTTCAAATCAATAAATTTTGCATTGAAATTATAAAACGATACTTATTTTGAAACATAAATTTTACTCTAGAATGACATATAATTTGAAAAGGAGGGAGTATTTACTTGATTTTAGTTTGTAATCTCGTAAAATTTGCTTTTTATATTTATTTTAGTAAAACGTTCAAATGACCAGACATGCCTCTTTGTTTATTGCAGTTGCCCTAAATAGAGAAAGCTAATCATGATTATATATAGATATTTAGAAAGAGTATCACGCACATACACACGAAAGTTATAAACGATCGTCTAACACATTAATCTTAGGATTAACCAAAAATAATCAAGAAAAAAAAAACAATTAAGCGTGCGATAGAAATGAGGAAGAGAGAAAGGAAAGAGAGTCAAGCACGCGTTTTTCTAATCTTCGTTCCCTTTGGGTGGGCGACACAATGGTCTCCTTCACTCTCAATAATACTTTATTTGCCCACTACTACTAAATTAATTCTTCCTTCAGATCTCTTATAGTTTTATCTTCTTTATCATTTATGCGATAATATGATCGCACACAAAACATGATTGTTGTTATCATTCTTTTTATTTGCTAAAAACAGTCATGACTTGGTGGGAGTTATCTATATGGATTTCGGCAACTTGGGAGCATATTATCTTATCATATGTACAAGTGGGTTGAAGAGTCATAACTTGAAAAAATAGGGACTGCATGCATTCATGGTCAGCATCATTATGACAAATATTTTCTAATGTCATCATCCAATTATTGGCGTTTCATCTCTCAAATATTTTCCACAGCATTTTTCGCTAGGTCAGATTTTGGACTACGAAGATATTACGACTAGTACTATGGAGGAGGTGTCATATGAATTGGTCAAAAACAGTAGTGGTGTCATTTTTTGTAAATGAAGATGTCATATTTGATTTCATTATAACACTCGTCTATAGTTATATCTTAAATATCAGCACGAAGAATAATGTCTCGAAATTTATGAAAATGGGTTATGGCCTTTGGGAAGTAAATTAAAGAGTAACTATTGAGAAGGGAATATATTTATTATGTGATGATCATAGATCACAAAGGACACTTTTGTTGGACATCGCAAAAGTTCGTGTATCCCCCACTAACGAAATAACACTTTTTTTTGTTATATCATTCCACTTGGGTTATGGCAAAGGGTCCCTACTATAAAAGATTAAATGAATAAACTACATCGTTAGACTTAGTACGATGTATAAAAAATAATGGATTGATTAGGTCGTTTTTGGTTTTAAGTATCCATCAAGTAAAATAAACGCGAGGAGGTTGAGATCAAAATTTTAAAAGAACTCATGGCCGATCTTGAGCTTAACGGAAAACTGTAAATTGGACTAACAGTGTAGCACACAGACAAAATAAACCTCATTAATTACTTTAAATTTCTAAATTGAAATCTTGCTACGCAAATGCACCATGTATTTTCTGTGAAAGTGTTTGTTGAGATGATAAAAGTTACTTAATCTTTGGACGAGTTGTTCCAAAATTATAGCATTGTCATGTAACGAAATTGTCTAACCTGTGAGTTTTTTTGTTGTTGTTATGATCTATTATTTGTCATCACTCATCGCTCCGTACCACTTAACGGAACCCCAATTTGACACTGATACGTGGGCTTAGTCTTTCACGAACTATTGCAAAGAACTATGCAACCACATTTCTCTAAGTTAGGCCTACTTTTAGGAATATGGAAACTAGTTTTAAACTACTATTTCGGCCCAATGTACCCAAAGAACTGATACTTTGGAGCAATGTTCGAAGACCAACATCTATCTAGGACATTAATTAGGCTTTTCAATGACCCAAATGATTTTTTGACAAAGGGCTTTCTAATGACCCAAATGTTATTGCCGCAACTCATTTTTTTAATCGTATAGGGAACCAAGCTTTTTAGTTAAAAAAAAACACAGACCAAAACATCATTTGAATGGTCCAAAAAAAACAAATACTTTTTTTTTGGTATTCCATTTTGTCAATACTGTTGAAATTTTAGGGAGCTTTGTGAATATAAAGATTATATCCAATCATCTTATCACCAATTAATTTTAATTTGAACGTTCATAATAAATTCAAATGTAAGATGGTATCAGAGGTCGAACACACGCTGCTCAACCAAACCGAAATCGAACCGGCCCATCGAATGAGGCCCGATTGATCCTATTCGACTTGGCTCGAATGGTCTGGTGGTCTAACCGAACTGAATCCTACACTAAGATATTGTCGAGATTAATGGTTATAAGAAACCGTTATCTCAAATGGGAGTGCGAAAATATAAAGCTATAAAGTGTTAAGATCAATTTATTTATTATCGATTGGTTTTAAGTTGGAAACTCATAATAAGCATATCATGTCCAATCCAACCGAAATCGATCTGCCTATCGAATGAGGCATGATTGGCCCTAAACCAACATGACCGAACCGAAACCTAAATTAGGATATTGTCGAGAATAATATTTATAATAATTTTTTTCTCAAAAAAATGTGCGAAAATTAAAAAAAGTTATAAGAGATTAAAGTCAATTTATTTATGACCAATTGATTTTAAATTGGAAATTCATAATAAATTCGAATTTAACAAACTCCAACTGAATAAAAATGGTGTCTGTTGGTAGAAGGTTGGGATTCCATTTTCGTGATAAATTAGTTATCTATTGTGTTATAAGTGAGCTTCTGTAATATTAAGAAATGAGAGATGAAAACAAGATAATAAACAAAATTGGCAGACATAATGCATTAGGAAATTAAAACCACATGTTTAATTACCGAGGCTTGTTTGGTTAATATTGAATCTTAGGAATTAAAACCACTAGTTTATTGGTTAGTTAATCTTATTATATTGTTTGGTTATTGAATCTTGACTTAGCTATATAGAAAATGACTCCGAAACCACTATTATATGAAGATGACGATATGCTTCACTTAATCTCACCTTTCCGCTTTGACAATTGGTGTGTTCATGATATACTTTTAACCAAATTGTTGATAATTGCTTCTAAGCTTTTACAGCACGTGCAAAATTAATTTTCAACGAAGTTTTATCTTGGAGTTGCGTATACAACTTGTACTATTCCAAATCTATCTTTGCTTTTTCTACTTTATGACTAGCTTCGTCAATATGCAATATCATTGTTATCTTAAATATGATTTTATCCAGAAGAACTGGCCACACGCGGCTTTCTATGTCGGATACATATATTGATATATAGTTATATACTCTAAAGTCTGAAGAATTTTAACTTATGCTGGTGACTGATCCATATAGCTGCTCCAGTGCATCAAAACGGCAGGATAAGTTTAATTGTATCAAACGTCATTGCTTATGTGTTTTACGACTTAATTAGGGCTTACGTTGATAAACAAAGATAACTTGATTAAGCTGTTTAAAGTTGTGTCTTGTGTGCTTAAGAAAATAATGGAAAAAAACTTTAAACAACATCTTCTGTATAATGAAAAAAGAAAAGAAAAAAAAGTATCAACATCTATTTTCTGGACAATTAGTTTAACGTTTATTTTTATTTTAGCTTCTGAACAATTGTATCTTTTCCTAATATATAAAACTGTTGAAATAATCAATTTGGTACAAGCTAGGTCTTCGTGTTAATGATGAGCAAAAAATAGACAAATGCGCAAAATAAAAAGATCTCAGAGTTGTTAACGGACTTCTATTTCCTAATATCAATCCTTTTGATCATGAGTTCATTTCAACTAACGCATATCACACACAATCCTCCTAATCCACTGTTCTATCAGAGATGATCTCCACAACTAAACATCCATGACCTAAATTCCATATAATGATGATTTTGAAGATAAAAATCTCAAGCAATGGAGTTTGTAGGTTTTATTTTTTCCTAGACAATAAACCAGATCTTCAAAAAATATTCTAATATCTACAAGTAGTGATGAAATAAAAATCTCAAGCAATAGAGTTTGTAGTTTTTTTTTCCTAGACAATAAACCAGATCTTCATAAAAAATTCTAAATTCTACAAGTAGTGATGAATCTTATGGCTGGGCAAATATCTATAAAATTTAATTTGATTTGTTATCCGATTCAAATCAAAGAGTCTAGACATCCATAACTATGTGAAACCAAATATTAACATGCAATATTTGTAAGAAAAAATATTAAAAAATTTAAGAATGAATATCTATTTTGATCCGTTATACCTATATATGCATATATTTAAAGAACTATATGTATATCAATTATATAATTATCATATTTTATTTAAATTTAAAAATGTATTATTATTTATAATTTAGTTATTAAAAAATAAAGTAAGTAGATTTTATTTTTAACAAAATATTATTATTTGTATTCTTATTTTTTTTTATATAGCTATTTTTATTTTATTTATATGCGTCGAAATGAATATCCGAAAAAATAAAATATATTATTTTAGATATCTGGATAAATGCAAAGCAAATTGAACAGGAT